ATCTAACATTTGAAACCTGGCAAGGTGCTTCTCTCAATGTCTTGTTTTCTTTCCATTTTGGAGCGTTCAGGTGGTTATTCATTGCTCACCCATCACTTAATTATTTTAAAAAAACCCTCTCCCCTCCCCCCTTATGCTGTTGGTTTCGAACAACATCAAACTCCCATGTGTGTGTGTGTGTTTTTAGCACTCCGGAACAGGAGCCAGATATGGTGATCTGGCTGAGTTGGATGATCAAAGAAGAAGCTTATTTTGAAAGGTGAGACTATGCTTCCTTTGCCTAGAAAAATAGATAAATACAACTCCCCCTCCACCACGAGACTTTCTTTCCTGTTCCCTCCACCCCCCATTTGCAAAAATCTTGAACCGGATCCTCCTTTTTCTTAATCTTCCTGCCTCCGACAGCACTTCTGGGGTATCGGCCTCCTTTGGCGAGATGCTTCTGCTGGTTGCCATGTATTTCCACAGCAGCCAGCTCAGTGCCATCATTGACTTGGTCTGCTCCACTCTGGGAATGAAGGTAAGCATCTGCCTGTTACTGAATAAACTCTGCACCCCACTGCCACGAGTTTCAAATTCATTCCTGGCTGGTTTGATTCGGGTTCCGCCTCTCGCCGGGAGGGAAGGGGGGGCACTTGAAAAATCTCATTTGCATGAAGAAGTTGCAGCGATACGATGAAAAATGGGAAGGGGCCAAAATTCAAGAGGAGAGCACAGGCGCGTCGGGTGCAGAAGAGCCCGGTTTCGGCATGTGATCCTGGAGGAGATGCTGCCAGTCCGTGTGAGCTGTATTGGGCTAGACTGGGCATATAAATCATAGCTTCTTCTGTCACTGTTTAAGTCATCACTTTATCTGGATCTTCCCCCCAAAATAGTGTCTTATTTAATCTTTGAGAAAATAATTATCGTACAGGAAGTCCCAGGTTCAAAATCCAGGAGAAAGACTCGGGTAGCAGGCGACGAGACTCTCCTAGTGGCCTTTTTTGGGTCCAAAATAGGCTAATTTTTATGTATTTTATATTTTTAGTCCCATACAGACAGGAATAGACAGTTTCGACTATGTGTGTCTGTGGTGTGGCCCAGACACCACCTTCATCCTAAGTACACAAATATTAATTCATCCTGTGTTCAGAAATATTCATTAAACATGCTTGGATTTTTAGGGTATGAAAGTTAATGGCTGGTAACAAGAATTTTTAAAATTTATTTCAATTTTAGTAGTAACTGTTCATGGAGATGTTAATGAAACTTCCCACCAAGCTTAATTTAGCCAGGCAGTGGCTGAAATCCCATAGTAATTTGATTTTAGAGAAGGTCCATTGAACTAGTGGGGATTTGGTGCCTTCTCCTGTGTAAGTCTGTTCGATTCAGTAAGCCGACCCTTAGTGTTGATTTAGTTGGATTTCAGTCACGAAGTACTTGCTTTAAACTAAAGAAGGGGGTGAGCGGGCAAAGGAAGAATAGATGTGAAAGCAGAATCTCATAGCAGGCTCGTCATCTGTTTCCCTTTTCCCAGATTGTCATTAAACCAAGTTCTCTGAGTCGCATGAAGACCATCTTTACCCAAGAGATTTTCACGGAGCAGGTAACGGGAGGGGAAGGTGAGCCGCAGGGCTCACGGACGGGTACGACGAGCCTTCTGTTCCTGTGCTCTAGGCTTTTTGGTTCCCTCTCCTAGGTGGTGACCGCCCATGCGGTCCGTGTGGCCGTCACGAGCAACCTCAGCGCCAACATCACGGGCTTCCTGCCCATCCACTGTATCTACCAGCTTCTCCGGAGCCGGTCGTTCACCAAGCATAAAGTCTCCATCAAGGTACGTCGCCCTAAAAACGTCCGGACAGCCCTGCCCCTCAGCGGCGGAGCAGGGGTTTTGAAGAGTTACGAGTTCAGTCCTCAGCAGCAGTAGGAAAGACCCCTGGAAAGATAAGCGTCCGTCAGAGTAGAAGATCTTGGGTTGAAGAATGTATAAATAATTGGGTCTGGTTTAACCCAGGGACTACATCTCAGTGTAGAATCGTGGAATCACAAAATCATGGACCTGGAAGCTCAATTGAGGCTGAATCTCAAGAAGAAACTTATTTACTGTTAGAGCAGGATGACAACAGGACCCATGATCTTCAGGAGGTGGTGAGCGCTCCGAGGATGGAGGCCTTCAAGAGAAAACAGGGCCACCAGATATCCTTTGATTTGGATTCCTTGATCTGGACTCGATGGCCTTAAAGGACGCCTTCCAACTCAATTATTTTACGGTTCTTTGAGTCCCGCCCCCCTTGCTCCAATCAAAGTAGATCTAACACAGTGGTTGTCTCGTGTTGTCTTGAGCGCCTCCAGGGTTGGGGCGCTCGCCACCACCTGTAGGGAGAGCACCTACCTCACCACCGCCCTCCCAGGCTTAGATGAAAGCCTCAGCAAGCGGGTGGAGTGATCTGGAAAAAAAAAATAAGACCTTTCAACTCGCCGGCTTGCTTCTGTGGTCTTCCATGGACAGGGAGGCCATGGGAGGCCTAAAGTGACAGTCCCGCAGGGAGCGTTTTGATCGAGGGGCCGTGAAAACCCAGAACCTGGCCTTTCTCCGGAGATTTCATGCTTGATGGAAAAGCAAATCTGGGGACTTGATTTTCTCCCGGTCTGTCGGTGGAAGCTCGGGCGGCTAAATTCGCTGTTTCTATTTCTCTTAAGGACTGGATCTATCGGCAGCTGTGTGAGACCACCACCCCGCTCCATCCTCAGCTGCTGCCCCTCGTTGACGTCTACATCAACTCCGTCCTCACGCCAGCTTCCAAGTCCAACCCAGAAGCGACCAACCAGCCCATCACCGAGCAGGAAATCTTGAATGTTTTCGAAGGAATTATGGGGGTATGTATGCGGGTGGGCGGGTGCAGATATATACCTAAAAGGGAGCATTCTTCTGCACCAGGAGATTTGGATCTGAATCCTACTGCTTTCGTGCATCCTCCGGCCGCAGCGGCTCTGTACGCGTTGGAGGGTCCTGCAGCCTTAAACCCAGCTCAAAACAGAGAACTAATTTCTGGCCTGCAAGCCTCCTTCCCCATCCGTCCACCTCCGGCCAGAGGTCATCACCTGTTGTGCAAAGGACTGCTGGTGGACATTAGCAACACCTTGTCCAATTCCTCCCCCTCTTCCCGTGTTCTTTTATTGCAGCTGAAAAACAAGGTACAAAAGCCCGAAACTTTATGGGAAAATAGTGAGGATAGGTTTGTGTTTTTGGGAGTGGAAGGAGACAGCTACAGGCTTGACACTTCTGTAGCTCCATTCTCTTTCTGTTATTTCTTCCCTAACCTCCATTTCCCCCTCAGTCTCTGTCGCCCCTTGTCTATTACCGTGGCCTTCCTGTTATGCATCGTCTGTGTTGTTTTTCCCCAGGGAGGCGAGAACGCTCGTGGGAATCCACGTTACGGAATCACAGCCCAGCTTCTTGTTATGTATTACGTCCTGTCGTACGAAGAAGCCATCCTGGCCAGCTCCAAGACCCTGGGTATGGGGTTGGCAAGGCTGGTTGGGGTGGGGCAGGGCAACCTCAGCCAAAGAACCTGCGCTTGGTTGGGTCCTCGGTGCCTACAGTACTGCTGTAAACACAGGGTTTGATTTGGGAAAGCTAAGCTGGGCCAGGACTGGTTCCTCCTGGGGCGGGAGATCACTAAGGCGTGGGAAGGATCTGCGTGTAGGTTCTGGAAGGAATCCGGAAGAAACCTTGGAGATCCGTTGCTGCCACTCAGAGTTGGCAGTGCTGAGCAAGACGGATCGACTGTCATTAAAAGGCAGCTTGCTGTGTGAGCCAAATAGCACGAATGTTATGATTCCCAATACCCTGGCATATATCTACAACAAACTGTTTGCAGAACACCACTGTACTGTGGGTTGCAGTAGAGTAATAGAACCATTGTATTCATGAGATGAGTATCCACAGTTTTGCTTATCCGTGGTCTAAAAATATTTAAATTGTTAAAAGAAAAATCCCAGAAGTATTTATTTCCATGATGTAATTATCAGAACCGGTCACTAGAGGGTGCCAGAGACCATGCTGTGCACAGAGTTTGCAACTATCCACGGTATTCAGCATCTGCGGGGGGGGCAGGAGCTTGGAACCGATTGGCTATGGCTCTCACAGTCCTGCTGTATTTCTTGATGGATGTAGCGATCACTTCACTTGTCCCTTTTGGTCGCAGCTGCCATGCAGAGGAAACCCAAATCTTACTCGCCGGCCTTAATGGACCAGATCCCAATCAAGTACCTCATCAGACAAGCTCAGGGACTGCAGCAGGAACTGGGAGGTAAGGTCTACCGGGGTTTGGTTCCTGGCTGGGCTGGCTGGGCTCTTTTCCCAAAGCAAAACAACCCAACTAGGACAACGGAGGAGAAAATATCATGTGGACAAACTGTGAATCAATGTTGGGATGTCATTTCTGCCCCCCCCCCATTGGCGCAAAATCTGAATTGCTCCAGTGCGGAATTTGTCATATTGCAAACTGCAGAATGAAACACACTTAGTACTGGGGGTCACTGCTGCGCTTGACGCAACGTTATCATCTCCGAACCGTTCAGAAAATTTCTGTTGGAGAATGTGTTGGTTGTGATAAATGCGAACCAATCTCTCTTCCGACTTCCGAAGGCTTGCATTCTGCGCTGCTGCGCCTCCTGGCCACCAACTATCCCCACCTTTGCATCGTGGACGATTGGATCTGCGAGGAACACATCACTGGCACCGACACTTTGCTACGCAGGATGCTCCTCACCAATGCGGCTAAAAAGTATTCCCCCAAGCAGCTCCAGGAAGGTACGCCTCTTCCCTTATCGACATGGAATTGTATAAGGCAGGGGTTTCCCAGTCTTGGGTAACCCAGGGGTTCTTGGACTGCATTTCCCAGAATGCAGCCTTCACCACCAGCTATGCTGGCCGGGGTTTCTGGGAGTTGCAATCCAAGAATACCTTGGGTGACTCAAGGCTGGGAACCACTGGTGTCCTTTTTTTTTAAGCTTATGCATTTGTATTGAGCAGTGTTGTTCCTACTTCAAGTTCCTAAGACCCTGACCTTAACTGGAGTTGACCCATTGAATCACCCATTGAATGGTAAGCAAACTCTTATGATTGGAAATACAAGAAGGTGGGCGATCTTGGCCTTGGTCTCCAGCAACACATCCTTATACTTAAGTCTTTTTAGCTTTAGTTAGGACGAGCGATTTACTAGCCCTTTGAGCCAATCCTCGCCCTTACCGAAGCAGTTTATTTGTACAGAGTTTTACGTAGAACACCCTCTTATATTCTCAAATGTTTAACGCTTCTTTTAAACTTTTTTTCCCCCTTAGCCTTTTCAGCTTTGCAATCAAATCGCACCCGGGTCCTGCAGATACTGGAGCACTTGACGCTCCTTTCGGCGGGAGAGCTGATCCCTTATGCGGAGGCGCTGACATCCAACATGAATCGGCTGCTCTGCCCCGGGATCCCTCGGAGGCTCCTCCAGACGGTCAACAGGCTGTGGATGGCCTTGAACATGGTCATGCCTCGAAGGTGGGAAGGAGGTTTTGGCGGATGCTGCTGCAGCCTTTGCCTTGCATTGCGTTCCCCTTGTCGGGAGTCTCTCGACCCGGGAAGCCACCGCGGAAGGGCCTTTGTTACCATCCCGTCTTGATTTTTGGGCTTCCCAAAAGAGGAGACTGGTCTACGTGAACCTTTTGGGTGCAACCAAGCAGAGCTCTCCCTTAGGCACCCTGATGGTAGTAACAAAATGGAACCTCCACATAACAGAGCAGTCTATCTGAACTTGCTCATGAGGACTAGCCAGCCATGTGGGAAAGCAGTTGCTTTCACGTCTTCCTAGTAGGCTTCTCCCTGGGACAGCTGGCTGTGGGGAACTTTTTTTGAAACCCATAGTCCTAGAGAGCTGTCTTGTGGCCAATCATGGAATGTGTGCTCCCAAAAAGGGTCCATGTCCTGTGTGGAGATGCCGCTCAACCCTGTCTTTCTTTGCTGCCCTCTTTTATTTTCCCAGGTTGTGGGTGATGACGGTGAATGCCTTGCAGCCTTCCGTGAAGATCGTCAGGCAACAAAAGTACACTCAGAAGGATCTAATGATTGACCCACTGATAGTGTTAAGATGTGACCAGAGAGTCTTCAGGTAAATCCTCCTCCCGGCCCCTTCTTGCTCTCCAGTACCACCTCGTGCTCTGAGCTTCTGCAGGAGTTCACGAGGCAAAAGACAACAAAGCTGGGATCCCTCAGCTTCACCAAAAAAGAGAGAGCAAGTTTCTAGCTCTCATGGCTGCAGAGAGTGACTTGGCTTGCTGAAATTCCAAAAGCAAGCAGCAGATTGACTCGGAAAGAATCGGGTTGTGTGTGTATGCGTTTATCCGGGCTTTTCCTGGGTCTAGTAGGAAACTATCCGAGTGTCGCAAGGATGCGATAGTCTCTGTGTGCCTCCTTTAAATGCGTAAGTGAGAATTCAGTGCTTCCTTCCGAATTTGGGCTTCCGGGGTGAGCAGTGAAAAGCTGCCCGGTGCCGCTTAAGCGTTTTCCTTCCCTCATTGTGCGGTGACCGGCTTTTTCTGAACCCCCTCCTTGTTTGTCCCTCTGCCCCTTGTCCTCCCGTGCCCGCAGGTGTCCCCCTCTCATGGACCTGACGCTCCGCATGTTGAACGGCTACCTGCTTGCCTCCAAGGCCTACCTGAGCGCCCACCTCAAGGAAACAGCCGACCAGGACAACAGGCCCTCTCAGAACAACGTCATGGGCCTCGACACCCCCGAGGTGACGCGGGAAGAATTGAAAAACGCTCTGCTGGCCGCCCAGGTAAATCCAGGCCCCGGATTGGTCTGCCACTCTGCTACCGGTGGGTGAGATCTGGACAGGGAGCGAGACCTCCCAAAGCGCCACCGAAAGAACTCCGTAAGGCTCCTTCGAAGGTCTCATACGGTCCCTGCAGAGGAAGCTGGCAGAGAGGGCTCACAGGGAGCGAAATGCCTTCCAGGTGAATCCGTTGCGTTCCAGTTGTTGGACCACCTTGTTCTGCATCAGACAGCCCTTCTTCCAAAGCAGTCCTTTTTGCGCCACACAAAACAAACCTGACCGTCTCTTTTACTTCTCTAGAAACACCCCAGATTTTCCTCTAAAGTTGGCGTCCCCAAATTTGCCATGAAACACAAGCATGTATGAGGTGCTGCTTGTTCTGTGCTGCCTTTCTCCACAAAACAGGCAGGAATGCCACTGCAGCTGTTGTTGGACTACAATACCCATTGTCCCTCTCCCAATGTTTGCACTCCCTGAGGATGATGGGAGTTGCAGTCCAACCCAGAAACATAAGGGAGGCTACAGGCAGCCGGGCTAAAGCTCGCTTTAAAAGTGAAACGTTCCCTGGTTCTGTGCTGGATGAGATTGTGGATAAGTAAATCAGCGGATATTGATCCCGCCAATAAAGGGGCCCAACTGTAGCTCATTTTTACTGCTTGTTTCTACCTCTTTTGATCTTCCAGGATAGCGCTGCGGTCCAGATCCTCCTGGAGATCTGCTTGCCCTTAGAGGAGGAGAAATCTCCGGACAGCAGTTCCGGCTGGCTGTTGAGAATTGTCTCTGGGACCACGGGGTCCAGTCCTCGGAGCAGAAGACAACCCAAAGGGGAGGAGGAGGTGGAGGAAGAAGAGGAAGAGGAGGCAGGGAGTGGAGGCGGTGGGGAGAAGGAGCAGGACAGCCTCCTGTGCAACCTGCGAGAGGTGCAATGCCTCGTCTGTTGCCTCTTGCACCAGATGTTTATTGCCGACCCAAACATCGCCAAGTTGGTTCACTTCCAGGTGTGTTTCCCCATCAGTCTTGATTTTGGAAGCCCAACAGGGTCTGGGCAGGTTAGCCTTTGCATTTCCTGCCAGCTCTTTCACTCCCCTGAGGTTTCAGCTCTAATCCAGAAATATATATATCTCTCTTTCTTTCTCCCCTCTTGCATGAATTTCCATCTTCTTGCTTCCTTCTTCTTTGGTCGTCCAGGGCTATCCCCATGAATTTCCATCTTCTTGCTCCTTCTTCTTTGGTCGTCCAGGGCTATCCGTGCGAGCTGCTCCCCTTGACGGTGGCCGGCATCCCTTCCATGCACATCTGCCTGGACTTCATCCCTGAGCTGATCGCTCAGCCCGAGTTGGAGAAGCAGGTATTGCCTCGGGCAGTGGCCGCTCCGCTGGGTCACAGCTGCCTTCCTGCTGACCCTGGGGGAATGGTCGTGTTGCGAATATTATGACAACTCCCATCAGCCCCAGTCAGCGTAGTTGATGGGGGAAGCTGGGTGGGGAGTTGCAGTTCAGTAAGCATTACAGAATAGTTCTTGCTACCTCGGAAATGGTGGCGCGGATTTAACTTCCTTGTTGTCTTCCTTCCTGTTCCTTTCGACACCTCCCCTTCTAGATTTTCGCCATCCAGTTGCTGTCCTACCTGTGCATTCAGTACGCTCTTCCCAAATCCCTAAGTGTGGCACGTTTGGCCATCAACGTCATGGGGACACTGCTGACAGGTAACCTCGTGAGGAGTAAATTGAGTTGTGAGTCAGGAATGGGGAATTTGTACCTCTCGCTCTGCCTGGATAATTCTGGCTAAAGAGGGAGGGGGATCCCACTTACTGTAAACATTTCCCCCTTAACACACTTTCTGTTGTTCTTGCCAGTTTTAACCGAGGCTAAGCGTTACATCTTTTTTATGCCCACCCTTCCATGCTTGGTCTCCTTCTGCCAAGCGTTTCCTCCGCTCTACGAGGATATTGTGTCTCTGCTGATCCAGATTGGGCAGGTTTGCGCTTCAGACGTGGCCACCGAGACAAGAGACTTTGACCCAATCATTACACGTAAGTCACGGGATCAAAAGCTCTGTGGGTGGTGAGCTGGGGTCATCTTTAAAGTTCCTGAGAGCTTTAAAGCTCTCTCCACTCCCGAGAGCAGGGCAGTACTCTACAGCCCTTCAGGGAGAGGGTGTTCATATTATGCTGCCTCTTTACTGACACTTTGTTAAGCTTATCTCTTGTGGAGATGGCACTGGCAGCTAGGAACAGGATTTGGGTTTTTTTTTTCCCCCAGACTACAAATACCATAATCCTCCATTCTTGGGGTTCTGCCTATCTTATTGACACTGATAACATGATACACCTGGAGAAAAAAGTTTGGAAGGCTTTGAGGCATAACTAGGCCTAGCTCCACCCAAGCTTCCTGCTGAGAAGGAAAGTTCCCATATAGCACTGGGGCAGGAACAGGAAGCTTGGGGGGAGCTAGGCCTAGTTACGCCTCAGATTTTGTATAAATGTTAAAATTCCTGCAGCAGTGGAGTAACACAGTTGCAAAGAGCATTGATTTGGAGGATTTGGGCTCTTTTAAGTCATTTATAGTGAATATTTTCTGCTTAAAAAACAGTATGGATAACAATACAGTAGTAACATATTACATTATATATAAGCAACAAGAATTTATTTTTCATTAAGAGGCAGCATGTTTCCTTGTAAAATGTTGCATTCTATCGTCACCTTTTGCAAAACACCTACAAGGTCCCAAAGCGTTCCTGGTTTCTCTTCCTGAACCTTAACAACCACTTTCTTTCTGTCTTGAATTGTCCACAGGCCTTCAGCAGCTGAAGGAGAAGCCCTATGAACGGTTTCCTAAAGACCCAGCTGATAAAAGTGGAGCCGGGGACTTAAATAGCATGGACCCCAACGTCCAGTTGTGTCATTGTATTGAAAACATATTCCTGGAAATCATAAGCATGAGTGTCGGTGGAGTTTAAGGAGGCCGAGAGAAATGGAAGAGCTATCACTAGGTCATGAGGCGTATACTGTCAGCGCTGGCATTAAACTGTGCAGACTGAAGCGAGACTAAGAATTGCGTCAAACAAGCAATATGTTTTTCATTGCCATGGATGTGGGGCGAAGTTCTCTGTGAAAGAAGGAAGGGCTGCGTTCAGCGGAAGATCAGGCTTCCTTGGTGTTGGACCTCTTTGGAGTAATTTCGGTTTCGTTGGTTTTTGAAACAAGGGACGTACAAACTATGATCTGTTGCATGTTCCAGCCAGAAAGCTGTATTGCAAACTGAGATCTACAGCAAACTTGAATTTGGACAGGTGCCTCCAGAAATACCTATCAGCCTGTGGAAAGGAAAAAACCACCCCACTCTCGCAAAAAGTGGGTCAAGAGGCTGTTGAGAAACAAAACAAAGAGACAGTGGTTTCAATTGTGTGGGATTTTTAAAAAATGTATATTAATAGTTGTTTCCACAGAGCCAGCTTTCCTGTTTCCTTTTCAGCTTGTAGCCCACTGATGTTCGAAAGCCGAGGAATGGTGAAGAGGGGCACAAGGCTTTAAGAAAATTTTGGAGACTAGACTTTGAGCTTTTAGTCTCCCTCTGAGGCTGGTTGTGAGGCAAACACAAAGGTCTTTAGGTTTAGAATGGACAGTGGTGGCTAGTGGAGCCAAGTGGCTGTTTTTCCCGTTCACCTCTCTTAAATAGCCAGCCTTTCTTGGTTAAATTTCTGCTCCAGTTTAAGTCCGAGAACTTCCTTCTTTTAAATGCTGTCAGATTTTTTAAATTATGTTGGAAATGTAAAGTTTTAGATGCTGCAAAGGCAGTGTAGTCCTTGTGACAGTGCTGTGTCGAAACGGTCCTTTTAACTGGGATTGACAATGAGGCGAGATCCCATACATGGCCCACTCCTGCAAAGTGTATTTAAGAAAACTGGGAGGAAAATCTGATTTTTTCGGTATCTGTGTCAGAAGCTAAACTTTGCACCAGAAAAATAAACTTTTATGGCATTGGGCTGAAACAGCCAGGCAAAGGAGCAGTGGCCTGTATTCCTAGAAAAGGATAAAATGTATAAAACTGGAAAACAATCCTTTGATAAAGAAATTTCCACCTCCTTCAAGCTTTGTCGTACTAAGTGGTTGAAGGAAAAGCCGTTCCAGTCCACATGCTCATTTCATGGCCTCCTTATACAGTCCTTCATAGACTCTGATTATTATTTAATTTCATACTTAATAATTTTTGCAGCAGAATGCTGCTCTGGAATTATTTGCATGCACATGGTGTTTAAAGCAAAGGAAAAAAAACAGTTTTCAGATACGGCTGCTGAAGTTCACTGCTTCTGTGTTTCTGATGCCTGAAGTCTATCAAACATTCCTCACCCAGAGCCTCCCTCATACATAATTATGAAAAAAAGGGGTTTTTGTCAGTAAATTGAGAGCCCAAGTTGACGGCTCATATACCACCATCCTGTGCTTGCTGGCAATATTTCTCTTCCAGGTTCTTAATTTTTTCCTATTTTACATCTACAGTCCAATAACCAGGCTGAGCTGACACTGTTATTCAGAAGCATTGAATAGTGAATATTTTTAGCATATTCTAAAATTGCCAAGACAGTGGTATACAGCTTGTGTTGAGTTTATTGCCTTCTGTTCATTAAAACCTTGTATATTGTATTTTTATATTTAGAAGATCATGATGTGGGTTGGTTTTTTACAGAGACGAATGTAATATGTGTACATATCTTTGCTCGTCATTTGGTTTTCTTCTACTATGGTATCTTTTTAAGTAAATCTTTGGTAACTTTTTTTTTCAATGAGACCCGACAGAAATGAGTTTCTTATAAATGTTTGTACCATTTCAATGAATTGTCACTGTTTTTAGATGGTATATATTCTACATAAGAACAGAAAACTTATCATTGGATCCTGGATCTTTGGGTAGCCCAAACAGCATCATCTAATTGGAAAAAGACGAAAACTCTTATTGGATTTTGTGCTGCTGCTACTGCTGCAAAAAGAAAGAAAAAAAATCCCAGTGGGAAATCTCAGTGCAGGGAAACAGATTGAAATACCCTGGACAATATTTTGTTTTCTTTGCTGGAAATTTTTATATGTATACCAGTTGTTGACAGCTATAATGTTGGGCTATTTGCTGCGTGATGTTACGGAATACTCACAGATATTATGACTGTTGAAAGGGAATGAGCCATGAAGGGGAGTGGATCAGTTTTTTGTTTTTTTCCTGAGGATATTAACTTAATAGTGGATTGGAAATGGGCTGTGTTGTGTGCGAGGAAGTGGTGTAGAATGGGCATGGTCGAATTTTACATACAGTATGGCACATTTAAATTCTTGTGCAACAGAGCTTTGGAACAAGCTTGTGAGTTACAAGCATATATTCTGATGTCTCTCAGGAGCTGTGCCCACATCACTCAGTGGGTAAAGCAGAGACTTTACATTTAGTAGGTCTGGGTTGAATCTGCCTCCACTTTAAAGGACAAGGTATGAGGTTCAGGAATGTGATCCTTGAAAAGCAGCTGCCAGTCAGAGTAGGAGAATTGGGTTAAAAAATCATTGTCCAGTTTCCTTCTACACCCAGAAAAAAAACACACACAAAAAAACCCTGAAATCTCTTCAAATTATTCCTATCATTGGCTTAAAAGGACAACTGAAAATATTTCTTTTGCAGCCGGCTGGGAGGCAGTGGAAGATAGGAGGGCCTGCCGTGCCCTGGTCCATGGGGTCACGAAGAGTCGGACATAACTTAACATTTGAAGAAACTGAACCCATTTTGCAAAGCAAAGTGTGATTTCTTGCATCTGAAACCTGATGGTTCCATTAAAAAAAAGGAATTATGACCAGCAGAGGCTTTGGAGTGCATTAACAAACAAAAATCTCTACTAGCCAGAAGAGGTCACTATAAACACGTTGATGTCGTTTGTATCAAAAATAAAAACAATTATCTTTGAACCTTTTTTAAAAATAAAAAATCATTCCTTAAAGTGGTGGCTTAGAATTGTTCAGCATTTGATTGTGCCAGAAAATGCTAATTTTAAATTTTTAGCTGTTACGTTTTAAAGTAGGCAAACGGGCATTGTCTCAATCTTTTAAGGGGAAAAAAATTCATAAAATCACCCAAAAGACCTGAATAAGTAGTTATTGTTTTCTCAACACAGTCCTAAGAAAGTTAAGGTTTCTCCTACTTCAACCTTTTCATTCCAATGCTAAAAATACTGGCAGTTGCATTTTAACACCAGTTGATAACATATTGGCAGTCATATTTAACCAGCCATTTCTAGGCTGCCATAATGCATTTTCTCTTAGAAAAATCGAGGAGAGGCTGCTCCAAGGTATCTAGGCCGCACTCAGCTAGCGGTTTCCTAGGCTACGGCAGAAACCCGGAAGCAACGGTAAGCGGGCGTTAGATGTGAATCTCCGGGAGGGAGAAAACGCTGGCGGAGGGGGGGGGATTAACTCCGTGGCTCTGCATTGGCTGTTAGGTGGTCCGCTGACACCTATGATTGGCTAATCAAGCCGCCGGAAGGAGGGGCGGGCTCAACGCAGGCGGGAAGAACGATTTCGACCCTTAAGAGAGCGAAGGCGGCTGGAGCGCTGAGGTAATTCTTACGCGGGGTGGTGGGACTCTTAAGGCACGCGCGCCGGGCGAGTCCATTTCGCGCGCGGGGGAGAACCCCACGGCTGACCCATTTCTGTGGAGGCGGCCGTTTTGTTTTTCTCGCGCCCTTTTTTAAATGTCTGAAGGGACGACATTTCCCTCTTTATTTGTAATAAGAGAATAGCAAATCCCGCTCTTCCAACTCAGGGCGGTTTAGGGGGAAATGGCGCCTGCCCTCCTCCTCTTCCGTGTTTCCTTAAAGCCGAATATATAAACATTTAATGTTGAGGTAAAAACTTTCCAGAAAAGTGACCCTGAGGGAAAGTCAAACCATAAATTTTCCCCTCAAAAACGCGTGCTTAAAAATGTCGTGCTTTATATGTCAATTCTGTTTATTTATTAACTTAAAATACTTTTACTCCGCTTTTTTTCCCTTTAAAAGGACCCAAGGCGGCTTACATCATTGAAAGGTTAATATTTAAAGCTAAAAAAAATGATTATGCAATATAAATATTGTACATATAAATGTATATTTATTTAAAATATTTATTTACTCTGCTTTTCTCCTTAGAAAGAGTGGCTTACAGGATTTAAAGAATATTTAAGAACAAAACAATGAGTATACAAAGATGACGTACAATGTTGAAAGGCAGCAATTAAAACTAAAAACACTTAAATATAAAAATGTTGAAAAGAAACAAAATATCCTGCTTAGAAATGGGAAGCACAAGCGATACTAAAACACAATAACACTTATTTATTTATTTATTTAATTTGATTTTTACCCCGCCCCTCTAGACCATGTCTACTCGGGGCGGCTACAAATAACAAATCCATCTAAAAAGATGTATACTATATATAATTTTTCATATATAGTGTAATGTTTAAATACAGAGCCTGTACTGGAGGTTCCCCACAGTCCCCCCTCCCCTGAAATTCAATATATTTATTTAAAATATTTTTACCCTGACTTTCTCTTTTAAAAGGACCCAAGACAACTTACATCATTAAAGGCAATATTTAAAGCTAAAAGTATTACAAATACTGTACTAAAAAAAAATCAAACAAATGCCACACTAAAGGACAGTAAACAAAACCAACACCCAAAAACACATTGAAAGCACTAAATCCCAACCATCTAATTAAAAACCCCACTCAGGCAATCAGTCATTAATGGAAAACTTAATATAAAATAAATAAACCTGCTCCCCTTCCTGACACAAACTCTGTTTTGGCCATCTTTGCTAATGATGAGTTAAATTATTGGTGATCCTATCAAATGTTGATAATTTGAAGCCATGTTTCAGCAATATTGAAATGAGAGAATATTCTGGTGTGGAAAAAAAGGCTGTTGCTTATTTGCAGAAATATACTGACTGTATAGTTTTGCACCCTCCCAAAACAAGATGGTATTTGTGTGAATGAACGTCACAAGTAGGTGTGTGCCTGTTTATTTTAGTTTTTATGTTCCAGCTTTCTCTTCCCTATTCCTATACTTGATGGTTTTCAGAATTTAAAAATATATATCTTAGTAATAATAACAATAATAAAGATATGTCTGTATTTATTATTACTTTCACTGTTTCGTCGTGTTTATGCTGTGGAGTGGTTTGGACTTTGGAACGAAGGCTGTAACACAGTAATAACCAATCCACCTGTTTTGAATTTGTGGCATCTCCCAAGTTGGGTTGGGAAAGACTCCTATGGTAAATGCTGCAAAACTGCTTTCTATTTAGATGTTTCTAAGCAAGATGGGCAAATCTTGTGCTTTCCACTAATCAGGTGGTGTACAAATAAATGAAACAAATAAATAATCGGTCGTATATCAGGCAGCCTTTGGCATTCATTTTGGAGCGTAGTTCTTTGCCAGCTGCAAACAAGTGACTTTTTCCCCCATCTCATTCCTTTCCTACAGGAAGTTGGATATCATAAACGGACTATGGGTTGACTTAGATGCCGTAACTCCAAACAGAAATGTCATTTAGATGGTGTTGATTTAATCGATTTAATCTGAGTTCTAACTTTTCTTTCTCCACAAATTAGGACTGCACACAGTAAGGCTTTTTAAAAAGGTGATATAAATGCATTGTCATGTTATTAACACACAATTAAACAAATTATGGCCTTCAGCTCCCTGAGCCTTTGTTCTCTCGTTCTTTATTTGCTTCATGTTCCTGCAGTAATTGTATGGTGGTAGGTCTTACTTGTTTACAGTATTTCTTTCTTTTCAGGTTCAGTGTCCTAAGAAATAAACAAGAATATGGCATCATCAGCATACACTATTGGGGGTGTGAACATTCTGTTCCCTTGCAAGGCATACCCTTCACAGCTGGCTATGATGAATGCAGTAAGTGGTGGTATGGAACCAGATTCACTGGACAGAATTTGTTCGTTGCAATACAAATAACCCAAGTGGCTTTATTTTAAAATGTGACATAAGCTTTGTTGGGTGCCTGGACCCTCAGTGACTTGTTGCCACTACTGCTTTATTTCCTAATTCTCCTTTAAATCTATATCTCACATGCCAGCAGTTTATTCTCCAAGGCTTTCACAGCCGGGATCTGATTAGGAACATTAGGAAGAACAATCTTCAGAACATGGCCAAAGAGCCTGAAAAACCCACAACAACCAGTTTGAGAATATGTTTATTAAAAACAGCCACAGCCACAACAGTGCCCTTTACAGCTGACACAGTACCATGAACTTTACAATTAACTATTAATTAAGCCCAGGAGCACCACCTTCCCTGATATTCTCCTGTTCTCTGCTTGGTCATTTCTGTTATTGTTTTTAATATGTTTGGTGGTGGATTTGTGTTTTTCAAAATGCAAAATCAGTTAGAATGATTTCAATTGAAAAGGACAGCATTGGTAGTTATGTTTGTTATATCAGTCACAGGTTTTGGTCTGGCTCTGAGATATTCCTAGTAAACCATAGATTGGAACTATGGGAACAAGCCTGCTTGACTCTTGGACTTGAGTATTTCCTCTTTATTATAGGAATGTACCAAAATGTTTGCACATTCCTGAGAAATCTGAAATCAACGTGGACTTTAATATAGCCTAGTGTTCCATTTCAGAGTTTATACAAATGCAAGAACATGTGATACCGTTAATCGACCATTAAGAATTCTTTTTTAAAGTTTGGATGATAAATAATCTTCTTCAGGGCTGTGCATCAAGTTCTTGTGGATAGTTCCAAACTTATAGGCAATTACTAATGTCCCAAATTCACATGGATGTGAATGTTGAGACCAGGTTTGCTTCTTAGATGGAGATAGTACAGTATGCAAGTTGGTTTCAAGCTCCTTATTTAATGTTCTTGGGTCACCAGTTATGAATATATGACTCTACCTAACCCTCCACATTTTTATATATTCCTTCTAAAACAGGCATTACTTTCTTTGGGGCAATTCAGATTATATGAAGAAACATTTTTTTTAAAAAGCCTTCAATCATTTTTGTAGAAAATCAGCAGCTCAAGGTGGCTTACAGTTCTCTGATTTATGTATTTAGATTTATGTATTCATTTCCAGATTGTCAAGGGGCTAAGCTCCAAGCAACACTGCCTCTTGGAGAGTCCAACTGGAAGTGGGAAAAGTTTGGCATTGCTCTGCTCTGCTTTGTCCTGGCAGCAGTCCTTGTATGGTGAGCCTTGTTCTGTGATAAATTTATGTATTTTTAATTGTATTCTATCAGAGACCATGGGGTTTGACCCCAGCACCTGAGAATGGGACTTAGCCATGGCCAGTCAGATAGAACAGTGGTTCCCAGCCGTGGGTCCCCAAATGTTCTTGGACCAAACCTTCCAGAAGACTTCACCCCAAGCTTCCCAAATTTCTGGGAGTTGCAGTCCAAGAACATCTGGGGACGCAAGGTTGGGAACCGGAGTGATAGAATGTGACGATTGTTCAAGTGGTGGATGCTGTGAGGAAGAGTCCTGGTATGGAAGGAAAGTGTTGTGTGTCGCACAGCAGCCTGCTCTGGGGCCTCTCAGCTAGATTTCAAAGTCAGTGGTTGATTTTCTTCTCTTGGTCTTATTGATGGAACATTTAACTGCTAGTCCATTTGGCTTCTGTGTCAAAAAACAGAAGGGAGCCCCATCCTGTTCTTTCTTTTAAGCAGCAACACAGGTAGCATTTGTTTCTTATCTGACGCTAGAAAAGCTCTCTAGAATGGCTTACATGCCAGTCTAGATAACAATATGATATTCCTTCCTTGCAGCTTTATAATCCATTTCTAAGGGCTGAAGTTGACATCTTGCGATGAAGTGTTACACTTTCTTTTTATTTTAAACTGTTAAATTTGATATGCATTTGCTGGTGGTTGAAGATTGGATATTGGTGCATGATAGTGCTGTCAGAATGTTTTCAAATATCGGCTTAAAAATATTTAAAATACTTTCTTTTCCCTCTCAAAACACACGCAAACAGCTTTGGGCATATTTACACAGCCCGTAAGACAAGCCCAAATCTCTCACTGCATCAGCCACAGAGCTTGGAAAGAGTTGCTTTTTTGGACTGTGGGCAATTATGAATTGTGTTGATAGCTAAATAAATAAATAAAAATAGGCAGGGGGCAGTCTCTTGAAAATCTTTTTTCTTTCTTTCTACTCCATAGGCATTTAATCTGTCAGTGTTCTGATGTTATACTTTTGTAGACACCGTTGCTTGTCTTTTAACCTGCTCTGGGTATCTTCCATGTGAACTTTTTTCTAAAGAAGAGTTTTGTCATTTTATATGCTTGGCAAATTGTTTTGCTGGAGAGCACAAGCTCTCTTGAGTGTCTTTCCAGAGGTGAGACATGGAGAGTATAAATGATTAAGAGACAATTATGAACAAAACAGCTTGAATTGTTGCAGTTTGTGTGTAAGACTGTGGCTATCTTTGGACATTAGCAGAATCTAATCACAGGGACTTTTGAAAGTGAAAAGGTTTGGGACGCTGGACATTTTAATGAAGTAGATAGATAGCTCACTGGGTTGGGTACCAGAGGTTGGGAGTTTGATTCCCCACTGTGCCTCCCAAAAAAAGAGCAAATCTGTGTAGCCTTGGGCAAACTGTACAGTCTCAGAGGGCTGTCAGAGGAAAAGGGACTAGTAAACCACTTCTGAGTACTCTGTACCTGGAAAGGGTAGCCATAAGTCAGAATCAACATGATGGATCATATATTATGATGATGATTAATCTTTTAATGGCTAGATAAGGCAAGGGGTTTCACAAGGGAGTCAGCTTCCTTCATTCTGTTTTGGCAAGCTGTACACAAACCACAACTGGGAAAAGTGCAGAGACCTTCCTGGGCTGTAATTCAGTTGTAGATCCCTTGCTTTCAGAAGGTCCCAGGTCCTATCCCGGGGTTCTCTCCAGACTAGTCAGGAAAAAAAATCTCAGTTTAAAAGACTTGAACAGCAACCATCATTTTTTTTTTTTTGAAAGGAGTGGTCATGTTAGCTCATGTAGCATCTTTAAGATTAAAAGATCTATTCCTGGATGACTGTTTGTGGACACACGGCCAGTGTCTTCCACCATGGTAGGCAATGCTGTGTGTAACAGGCCAACAGTGTGACTCACTAGATACAAGTCTGCTCATTATATCCTTTTGCCTCTGGTCACCCTGTTTGTAGAAAATGCCTCTGGCTGCTTGAAAATTATGCTGTCCAGCCAAGTGGAAAAATGTCTGTGTTTTTGTGTTGGGTTTTTTCCTTTGTGGCTCTGTAAATTATTCACGTAGGGGCTGTCTGTCATTTATTCATTATTGAGCTCCATGGTGGCGCTTAGCATACAATTCAGAAGGACAGCTGTGTCCCTGGGCGCAAGAGGAATTATGAGTCTTCTGAAAAGGAACCCTGCCCTGTTTGAGGATGAGAAGGTCAAATGAGGTCTGTGACCGTAGAGCTTTGTAGCTTTTGCTTTGATCCTTGCAGGTATATTCCCGAGGTGCTGTCACTTCATAAACAAGACATCTCAGCTGGGTAGCAGATAACTATGTAGTTGGACTGCAGTCTGTATCGTCTTTCATTGCTGGCTATGCTGATGGGATTTGTAGGCAAAAAGAAAGAAAGAAAGAAAGAAAAGAAATCTGGAGGCAATAATCACCCAAATCTGTCTGAAGAGTTTCAGTTGGCTGTTGGACAGAGCAGCCCTGTACACCAGGTTTGCCACAGAGATATTTAAGCTCTGCTTGGTTGATGGAACCCTCATTATATTTGCTCAGTCCAAAAGTGGGAAATGCAAGAGTTTGCCATGCTGTCTGGGGTGTTTAAAAAAAATTCATATTTTTAAGTTCTGGAAGTCAGCACATAGCTGGGAAATCTCCCAAATGTTGTCCTTTTCGCTCCCTCCAAAGTCAGCCGCGTCTGAACACAGGACACCCATTGTTGTCTTTTCAGAAAGGCCTCTTGACTCCTCATGCTCAAAAGAATGCAAGAAGCCAGAAGCCTTGATGCCATGCCGTTGTCGCTGCCATGCTAGCCCTGCAACTCAGAGCCAGGGCAGTGCAGAAGGGGGCCAAGGCGTTTCTAATTCCTTCACCAGCAGTGGAACAGGGACGCCCACAAACAGTGGAACTGCATCAGGCCATGAAGGTGATTCTTGGGGACGGGGGAAACTCCCTGATGATTTTGTCTAGTGTTTGTGTCCTTTGAGGGCAGGATTGTCAAGAGTCACAGTAGAGATTAGCTCAACCTCTACAAGAGTTCTCCTTGCAATTATAAAGGGCGAAACAGCTGTGATTTACTTGCTAACTGTTCTTATGGGCTGCCAAATTTTGTGGTCTAAGCCGCAAATTTGTTCCAAGAACATTTTGTTTGTTTGTTTAGTATACTTGATTTAGGGGCAAGCACTACTCTGGACAGTTGACAATAGAAATGAACATAGCCCAACACCACAAAGAAATTATTGCGTAATTTGATTAAAATTAACAAACAGTCAAGATCTGTCTAAACAGAAAAACCTAAAACATGGCAAAACTAGGTGACAGAGATACCAAAAGGCTTAGGGGAGGATGTTCTTGAAAGAAGGACTTGGTGAACTTCTCCTTTTTTTTGGATGATATATAGTGGTGCCTCGCATTACGACGTTAATTCGTTCCAGCGAAATTGCTGTAAAACGAAAACGTCGTAATGTGATTTTAAAAAGCCCATAGAAACGCATTAAAACCCGATTAATGTGTTCCTGGGGGCTTGAAACTCACAGTCCAGCGACGATCCTCCATAGCACGGCCATTTTCGCTGCCTGTAGAGCGAGGAATCCGTGCCAGAAAAGAGCAGGCGGCCATTTTGTTTACCTGGGGGCCATTTTGAAACCACCGATCAGCTGGCCGAAAATCATCGCAAAGCAAAATTCCCCCATAGGGAACATTGTTTTGCAATCGCAAAAACATCAACGTCTAGCGATTTCGTCGTCAAATGGAACGCCCGTTAAGCGAGGCACCACTGTAACTCCTTGGAGTAAGCAGGGCACATGATGGCTGGATGAATTCCGAGATCTGAAGTCCCAAGAGTAACTTTACCTGGCTGTATTGGGGAGAGGTTGGGAGGGCTGTGCTAGAAGAAAAGGAAAAAATAAATGATGGGGGGGGAGGCTTTCTGTCCACAGGCCTGTCTCAGTGGAGAAAAGAGGTCTCTGTGTAGATACTGTTCAGCACATGGATCTGTCTCCATTGTACTCAGAATCTATGCTCATGTTAGCAGCATATGTACCGAGTTTTCTGGACAACAACCAGTGACATCAATTTAGAGATACATTTTTTTAAAAAAAGCTTGTTTTTATTTTATGCATTTCTTTCTATCCAGGAAGGTTGCCAAGAATAAAATAAGCATAGTTTCTTTGGGGCTTTTTGTCCCCTCTTGAGAGAAACCCAATTATGCTCAGAGGTGTGCATGGCGTAGCATCTGTTACTGGAGTTCTTTTGATTTCCAGTTTTTGTTCTAGTGAATAACAAAATGACAGTTTGATATTCCCCCTCCCTTTTATTTATTTATTTATTTATTTTATTTTATTTTTGTATGTTTCTTGTTTCTGTAACAGGCTGCACTTCCCATCCTTCAGTTGGGAGGGACATCTCAAAAGTCACCCTTTCTTCGAAGCTGTCTGCAAAGCGGCAAGCAACTTTGCATGAAGGCGAAGATGAAGATTTTAAAGTAGATAAGAAAAGGATCCGTTCACTAGGAACGGAAGAGCAAGTGAGCAAACTTTACTATAGAGTAAAATTAATCCTTTTTCAAGTAAGGGAATCCATTCATTGAGGGTGACCATTTCATTATCCATCAGCATGTCAACTGAAACTGCACAGATTAATTGATTGCTTAAAATAAGCTGTTAATTGTCCCCTTAATTCTTGCTATTTCTTTGAAGGATACCCATTATTAAGGCCTCTTTTTTTTTGTAGGCAGCAAAACGACACCGACAGGACAAGGGGGTTCATTTTGTTGATGCCTTAGACGTTTATCGGCAGAAGAAAACTGGAGGTTTAATGGTGTCATCTACAAATGCTACCCCTTTCTCTCCCAAAGTGGTAAGTGTCATAGTTTGGGGTGAAAAATGGTAAAGAGAGACTGCCTTGTTTTAAAAGCACAGCTGTATGGAATTTTCCATATCTTCCTGTCCACTCCTTCCCCTTTCAGCTACAGCCATGATTTCAAGGTGCTGTTACTCCAGCATCAGTCATGGCAAGCTTTATGGGCAAGGCGTCATCTTCGGTGGGTTAGTCCTTTTCTTCGTGATGTAGATCTAGTCCATTCAAAAAGTGTTGACATTGTTTAAGAAACAAAACCAAAGAATCTTCAATATATCGAAGTTTGGAAAGGGGAGAGACTTATATACAGGAGCTGAAAGTGATTTTTCAAAGATGTGTTACTCTACTTTCTGGTGTCGCACACTCTTCCCATTTAAGACGTTAGGTATTCTCTGCCGGGAGCATGGTGGTGGTGGTTGTTTTTAGGGGAGGCAACTGTTTTTAGAATCTCCTTTCCAGGTTACTTCTCTGCTGGCTTCTATGTGCTTGGATGAAGCACATTTGTTTCCACTGGGCATTGGTTAGCCTGACTTTCTTGTGACGTTCTGTTTTGTGTGTTGATTATTGATCCTGCTTGTAAATTGTTTGACTTTCATCCATTCGGATTTATCTGTATGTTCCCTCCCAAGAAGAATGGCAGAATAAAAAATGTCTTCAATTGGATAGGGACCCAACAGGGTGTTTATGGTTTTAAGCTGTGTGAGCCTCCATGGAGGTTCCCATTTTTGAAGCTGAATAGTGTTGTGTAGCATGTTTCCAGTAAATACAATAAGTCCTTTTCTCAGCCCAAGGGAAATGAAATTTTTTGCATTAAAATACACTTGTGTCATATCACACTAACAACCCATGAAGCCTAAAGACATCACTGGGAATAAGCGTCATTCCGTCTGGAGGAAAAATATGCTGTAAATGAGCAAAAGTTGATTAGGATACTCCTGATCTTTGGTAACGTAATCCATAATACAGCCTTAATCCATAATACAGCCATATTAATTCATCAAGAGCAGCGATTGTTAACTTCCAAGCTCCCAAATGTTATGGGACTCCAACTCCCAGAATCCCTCACCACAGGCTATTCTGTCCTGAAGCCTAACATTGTTTGGGGACCTGACTTTGGAAAACGCTGAGCTGGAGGAAACTGAGCATCTTGATCCTAGAGCACGATTTTTTTTAAAAAAATAAAGATTTTTATTGTATTTTTTTCTACTTTTCTATCCATTGCAACCAGAGTGATAAATCGATGTAGATTTCATCCGGGTATAAAGAGGTTCCCATTTATTATTATCCAGTCTATCATTCAGTGTATCTGTCAAAATATCAATTTCTGCTAGTTCCAAAGTCTTCTCAATAAATTCCTTCTTTGTCGGCACCTTTGTAGCCTTCCACTTACTGGCATATACAATTCTAGCTGCAGTCATCAGGTGTAAGGTCAAGTAAGTCTTGTGTTTTTTTTTCTGAGTATAGCTGGCAATATAGTCAATAAGAAAATTTCTGGTGTCAAAGCTCCTTTAACCTTTAAACCTGATCCTGGAGCATCTTGATCCTGTCCCCTGGAAGGGAGGAAATGTCACCACCCTTCAGGTGTGCAGCTAGCACTGTGCTCTGCAAAACCTCTGCATCGCTGGAATGTTTTGCACCCTTCTTAAGTGCCTGATGGGCTTCTCTGCTTTAGCTGGGGGGGTTAATGTGGGGTAACAGCCCCCTATTTCTCTTCTCAGAGGTGCACTACGAATACCTGAGCTATCGGTGGACAAAAAGTTGGGAGGAGTGTCTGCTGACCTCCCTTCTCCTCCCCCGCCCAGGCCCTTTTGCTTTAGGTTAATGACCTCAGCTGCCACAAGGACTTAATAAGTTGGGCAGCTTGTATTGATTTTTGCTGTTGCTGCTGTAAGTGTCTAACAGAAAAATCAGTGACTGCACAATTAAGCTGTTTCTATAGTTAGCGTACTCCTTCAGTGGTGGAGCTGAGAGTTATAGGAAATCAATAGGGATTCCTTCAGCCAAATTGCTTCACAAATAGTGACTTCGGGTAAATCCTGTCCCTTCGGGCTCCAGAACATTCTAGATTTCATAGCCAACCTTTGAAGTAAAATTTTCTTTCTTGCTTGCTTTCTTTCTTTCTCGCTTTCTTTCTTTCTCTCTTTCTCTCTTTCTTTCTTTCTCTCTTTCTCTCTCTCTCTCTTTGTGACTGGAATTTTAAGTGGGCAAAATGGCTTCATTGTTGACTGGCTTTGTCCTCTGCCCATGATCAGTAGTTCCTTCCCTCTTTTTCTGGTCTGAGGCGACTCAGAGTTTACTGTCCTAACCAGCAACAAAAAGAAGAAGAAGAAGGCATTTGTGTATCACTGGGATCCTAGTTTGCAAAGAAAGTATGGGATAGAATTTATCTGTTTGGACAAAATGGCAGGCATTACTTTAGGGAGGAGTTTAGAATCATTTTCTTCCAACTTTGATTAAACCACAGTTTAGAATTATCTCTGAAATGTACACAGTTGTTTGCTTTATTCATCAACTTTCTAAAATAAGGCTGATTTGTTCTAAACAAACCATAGATAATGTTAGATCATTGTTCATCAAGTTTGGATAACACTGAATAATTTTAGTTTCATGGCTACACCACCTTTCCTCCAGTGAGCTCAAGATGATGCGTGTGGCTCTCATTCTCCCTGCTTTATCATTTCTACTTTATTGTTACTTTATTGTGAGGTAGATCAAATTAAGAAAAAGTCTGGCCCACAATTATCTGGTGTGTTTTCATGTGTTAGGATGGATTTTAACCATGATTTTGCAGGCTCTTGTTTAGTGCAAGCTAACATGGCAAACCACAGTCAATTTTGAAGAACCAAGGGGTTAACAACTTGTGATAATTCAGATGTTGTTCAACTATAATCCCCATCGTTCGCCGCTGGCTTTCCCAGCTAGGGCAGTCAACTTCTGGAAGGACACAGCTTGTCCATCTCTGTGATAAACCACTTGGCCTTTAAATGTAACCTCTTGCAGTAAGTTCTGTAGGTGAATGAGTCATTACCGATGGGAAGGCGCACATTGAATGCACCCCTCACCCAGCATCAGCTCACTTGCAGGAGTGTTCAGTGCCTGGATGTTTAGCCAAGAGAAATTGAAAACCACCCTCCCATAATCGAAGGGTGATAAAAGCAGGCCCTGCCTTCCTTGCAGAGGGTAAGAAACAAGATGCTTATGTCTCTGACTTCAGCGCAAATGCCTGCTCCTTTCGCTAGGATGTTGTAAGCTTTTAAAACCAGTTAAGTGCAGGGTTGGTACCTTTTAAACAATTTAAAGTGATTTATTGCCGAGCACTCAAAATGGTATTTCAAGTGAAAGCTATTTCTTTAAGTACTGAATAATTTTGAAATCCCATTAAATGCAAATGGGTCAGATTGTCTGCCAAGGTAACTCCATTGATTTCTCCTCGCCTCTCCCATTTTCACTGAAAGCATGTCAGCAGGAAAAAAAAACCATCTTGCCCTGTAAATCAATGCATGAACTTTTAATAATATATGACACACCTACTTGCATAAATCTGTTTTGTTTAACACAGTGTAGGCGTATTGATTGGCCTATAAAGCATTGTGGGAAGGCTAGGCCTACGGAGTGAATGGTGGTCTTCTGGATATCGGTTTGCTTTTCTGGGCGAGAGTTTCGCAGCCTTTTCAGCCACTGAAAAAGTCCTGTTTGCCATTCCTACCAGAAGGGCCTCTTAGGCTGGCAGGACTGGGAAAAGGGCCTCTCTCTTGATCTCACGCCATGAAATCCTTGGATTAGAGACAGCAGAAGGCTGCTTGCAGCTGACTCCTTACACAAAAGTCTACATTTTTGTCCTTGAAACAGTGACGAGGCTTGTCTCCAGAATCTTAAGTATTGTTAGATGGGTGTTTTTAACAGTGTTTTAAAACAACCCTTTCGTTGTGCTTTGGGCTCAGCTCAGGCTGGGCTTGGAATCTTGAATGCCCTAAGACAATGATTTGGAGTGTTTTAATGATTGTGTTGAAGGCAGGAGAGCATCTGTATCCGTCTAAGGGGCCATCCCTGGAAAAGATGCTGATGTTGGGAAAGTGAGAAGGCAAGAGGAGAAGGAGACGACAGAGTATGAGATGGTTGGACGGTGTCGTCGAAGCGGCCAACATGAATTTGACATAACTCCGGGAGGCAGTGGAAGACAGGAGGGCCTGCCGTGCTCTGGTCCATGGGGTCCCGAAGAGTCGGACACGACTAAACAATAACAAGGGGCCATTAATGATACCAGTTTACAGAACAGCCTGGTTGGATTTGGTGCTGTTGAATTTCAAGAACGTTGGAGGCCAGCAGGGGGTGCTGTTGATTTAAGATGTGAACCCTATAAATATATATTAAATATTAACTTTCAAGTGCCCTGACAAAAATCGGTGATAGCTGAGGCAGTTCAGCACCTGTACAACTAGCAACAATAAACCTCAGCTTGGTGCTATCGTATATGAGGTTTTCTAGCCTGTTAAACGAGCTTCTGGATAGTAAAGCATGAATAAAAGAAAATTGTCACCTGTAGTAGGAATCTGTTTGTGCTTTGAAGTGGCCGTTTGTGCACTCTCCATTCATAAAACTTGAGTGAAGCTGTTATTCGATAAACTGACATTTGAAATTCCAGGCAAATTTATAGAGGCACTAGATGTGTGTGTGATTACGCCTTTCCTGATCACGCTGAAATTGGAGTTTTAAAAATTACTGTTGGGCAGCTAAGCCTCTTGAGTAGGGTTAGGGAAATTTGTCAACCTTACTTTCCCTAGCTTTTTTCTAACAAATACACTTTCTGAAAAAGTAAAACCTGAGTTCTTCTTGTATCTCAAGCCGTTACACCACTGCGTCTTGTTTTATGTTATCTTTATTAACACTGTTTCTCCTGATGTATTGCTGTGTGCCAGTGGATACATTGTATTCTTTGGAAGCCTTTCAGTAATAAGTATGTTTGCAAAAAGAAAAGAAGACCGGATAGTATTTCACTGTGC